CTCCACCGCTGGTTTTCAAGGTGATCATCTCATCAAGCCGTCCATTGCAAGGAAGTTTTTTTTGCACCGTCCGATGCGGGAATAATCTGCTTGCTGCTGGCACCTTGAGCGATCCGCTCAGCACGCCATCCGACGTGAAAATAAGCGGAGACGCGACAGCAGTGCTGTTTTATAACTTTACAGGTTCAAGCAGAACGATGCACAACCAAGTGGTACTCGATTATGCCGACTGGGCTTGGGGAAGAGCAATTATTTCATAAATTAACGAGACAACAATATCACCTTTTGCTTGTAGTTTTTTTTATAGAAAATTGGAAAATACTTAATTTCAACAGATACGTAGAGTTTTTTTTTCCTATTGATTGGTGTATTTGGAATTTGAGTTCATCTATAAATGACAAAGTTATAAGTGTTAAAAACCTAACACCTTTTCGTGACGGTTGAAATTTTAGATTTTAGATTCACCCCTTATACCTTATCGTAAGACGTAGTCTACGTCAAACAATCTAGGAATTTATCTCAGAATTCCTCAGGACATCATCTCAGAATTATTTTGAAATCCTGATCAGAACTCCCGTGGATTATACTGAAGAGGGTAATTTTCTGTTATTTAAGTTTTAAATTTGGATATTTTACCAAAAATTACTTAAAATTTTGTAAAGTGTATGTTTTTCCTAGAAAGATATTATTTTTTCCTACAACATTGTATGAGACGTCGCACAGTGCGTTGAATGTATGGGGTAGCGGGACATAAACAATAAGATGAAGTTATCGCAATTTTACCCCATTGGTGTTATGGAAAAAAGTTACTTTAGAGGTTCAGAGCTACAATTTGCATTAATGACACATGTGCAGTAAGTGATCGATTGCTTTCTTCCGATGTCTCTTCAATGTTTTATATAACGTTCTGCAGAAACTCCATTTACTCTTCTCCTGTTTCGGCATGTGTAATGTAATATGAAACAGCTGCGTCATCTTCGCGATGTTTGGATGAAAATGTTTTTCGATATAGGTTGGTATTGATCTTGGATGTTTTCCTTATGTGGTTTAGTCGATTTTTCCTGATAATTAGGTAGTTTTAGTAGTTGGGTAGTTTCTAAAGCTTCTTCTGAAAGTTCGCCAATGGGTAACTCGAACATTGAAATAATGTTGCCGCTATGTATCAACAGTTTACGATCCGTTAAAGGCATGTAATACAAGCTGTAAAGAGCTGTTGATCCATTGTTTCTTGTAATAATGTTTTTTTTTTGAATATCAATTGGTTTTCCGCTGGCTACTACTCTCAAAATCGTACCAAATTTTTCGATGAGAGTTTCGTCAATTCCCGTGATAGCAGCACTTGTAACAGAATCAGAAAAAATACGCGCTTTGTTGCCATCATTAGAAGTACCGTATCCAGGCTTAGCCTTATCAGCGATTAATCCCATTTGAACTTTAAACTGCGGCTGAATCCTTTTTTTTGCTTTCTTCGTGGCTCTTCTTATTTGCTTCTCCACGAACCTGTCAGGTTTTAAAGAAGGCACTCAAACAACTTAATCCAACAATGTAGAACGGATAATCCAAATCTAAAGTTGTTTGTATTCTCATTTTTTTCATGGACTTTCGTATGGTTCATATCTTTTGGAGTTGCACCGCAAATGTAACACTTAGCTGCTGCTTTTTCGTGTGACAGCGTACTGCAAGCTTTCCAATCCAGCATAGTAAAAAGAAAATCATAGCAAACGTGAAGATTGGTATCACCTACACATGTCTCATATGGAATCAATTTACGAATACAAGACTCCACTGTGGTTTACTCATTTAAAATTCTAATTAAAATCCTCCTTAGCAAACATAAATTTAATAGGTCTGCAAAAATTCGTAGAGGCTGGTCGAGGGTTGTGCCACAAAGTTTCTTCTGTTTCTGCATCAATGAGTTTGAGAGGAACCATAGCAATTAGGAATAAGAATTCCTCGGTTGCATTTGAATCCGATTTTTTTTTGATAATAAATGCTGTGACTTGTAACTACCATCCATTCCCCACTTACAAACCAATGTTGCTTTTTTTGGGGTGAGCTATCTGTATTACTTTAGTGATGCCATTAACTGTTTGGTTGAGCAATTCTTGAAGATCTACCATAGCAGATGTCTCTGTTACCGAAAGGTTTTTTGGGATGATTTTGTTCTTTGCTTGTCTTAAAGCATACAGACTTGGAAAACAATCTTTATGAATGGCGTTCACAGCATCTCAAAGCACAATGTGCTTTCGCTCTGACAGATCCAGATCAACAAACAAAGCTAGAGCTTGAGCAAGGTTTGAGTATCTTTTGGTATTTTCTGCAGGAACAGATGCATTCAATGACATGTTTGCGGCGAATACTAGTTCTTCGGTTTTGGAAACTACTTCTGCAACTCGTCTTTTTGTTTTGTTTTGGTTGAGCAGCTTGTAACATCTTTCTGGGGCCGACCGCGAGTAGAATTTTCATTGGAACCATCGTCAACATTTGTATCGTAAGCAGGCAATTCAATTTATGACTTCAACGAAGCAATATATTTTGACGTAGGACTACGTCTTTGATTTCTATATGGGGGTACACTTTGTGAAAACCAAAAATGGAACATGTAACAAATTAAGAAAGATTTTGAACGTTAATAACTCAGCTGCCCCTGGTCCAATTTCAATAATGTTATCACCAATAGATCAGAAATATGGCTACGCATCGATAACAATGCTTCCAAATGTTGATTTTCAACAAGAAACTATTGAAAAACTGGTAAATGTCCATATGCTGCTTCCCCAGCACAGTCGTCAGAGAGTAGTAAGTAGACGAAACAAGTCGAAGTGGCATTCGCCTCCGATCCTCGGGCGTGTACGAATAGGGAGGATGGAATTGCGTAATATTTTGCACACTCATCGCCATACTCAGAACCACACGCTCCCAACGACCACACCACTGTGTGGTGGTGTTCGGTCGTCGAAATTAGTAGAAGCAGTAGCAGCAGTAGCAGTGCTTTCGGCGTGTGGCGTTGAAAATTGTTCTCCAGTAACAACGAAAGCTGCAGAGCCCACATAAACAACCATTAAAGGAGGAAGAAGCTGCACCGCTATGCTATGGATCGGAATCAGTAGCTCTTCGTGAGTCGCTGCGGGTCGGTCATCTATGCCAAGCGTGTCACCCTCGCTCCAAACGACATACAGCTCGACAGCCTCATCCGTGTTGAACACCCAGCTCAGAATTACTCAACCATCACTACAAAACGGTCCTTTTCAGGGCCACCAAAAATTTGTTAAAGAGTATTATTTGGACATTGGTCATCAGTTCCCGCAGCCTGCTAGCTATCAAGGCTCAACCTGGTCTCCATAGAAGGTGTGGAATTGTAGGCCCGAATGTATTGGTGAGATTAATCATCGTCCGACCATTTTCCAGAACACGCTGGTAGGAAGTGTTGAAAATCCATATAGAATTTGAGAGAAGTGGGATTAATTCGCTTTGGGTGTATATTCAGTCCCCAGAAAGCCAATAAAATCAATTTTGTGAGAAAATTAGCTGCACAAACGATACTTACCGCCCGGCCCCATTCATATAATTTGGAAAGAAATCCTGTGAGGGGTGAATTGAATACGCTTTAATACCAAAATGCACAAAACTTAAAAAAATATAAATAACAAAAAATTTAAAATACACCTTTTAAAGTCGGGTAGATTAATCAAAAATACTCAAGTTGACAGTCCCTTGGATTCTCTTCATCAATTTTCTCTTTGAAATAAATACTACAAATTTGATACGCTTACAAATAAAAAAACGGAAAGAGTTAAGATAATTGATGATTGATCAATTAAAAGAACTAAATGTTCACATATGTTCCGTCCACTAGCGGTTCTACGTCAAGCTTCCGTTCATGCCCCTAGGCACAGACCCTTCTACTTTTTTTAATAAAATACTTCTTTACTCTATGACACTTAACCCACTTGGAGTTCAATTTTGAGCAATACATGACGTAAAATTGGTGCAAATTCTTCAAAACGTGCTCAGGTGTGTCATTAGATAAGCATGATGCCAAATAGCGGAAAACACTTGGCGTTCTTTTGCTTTCCTCACATGTGACCCATTTTTCAAAAATCTGCTGATTTAACAAAAGGTTAAAAATCTGGTAGAGTTGCGATAAGTTGCAGCTAAATCATATATGGTCTTGTAAAGGAATTTTTTTTACCAACAATTCTATAAAAAGTTTGGGGTGGAACTCGATGGAACTTTTTTTGAATCGTTAATCAAAGTTTGAAAAGTGTTTTTAAGATGATCAAATTCTACACAAGCTATTCGTTCCTGTTTATCCGAACTGAGACCAAAATTAATCCAATGGGCAATTGTAACACACTCTACTGACCTTGACTGTTATTGTCCATTTTACTGGAATTGATTTTACGCAGTAGAAAACTTTTCCGAGTGAAATTTCTAGACGATATTCGAGTTTATTTTCCTCTCTGAACACTGACAGTTCACATGGCTGTAATTGTAGTTGTGATGCTTCTCAAGCTAACCAATACTTGTATACATTGCAGGGGGCATCCATAAACACTTCTCAGTAGTTAGTTTACCCAAATGAAACAAAGTGAAGATCGATTTTTGTCCATGGGCCAACGCACTGTGATCGTTTCGATTGGAAGTGATGTTTTTTAGTTGAGAAATACCAAATACGCTATTTTGATTTTGATTGCGAGATTCAAAATGGCCGAATTTTAGCTCAATTGCGAATGATTGACCATAACAAACATTTGTTTTTTTGCTATTTGGCCGTCTTGTTGTGTGACAGGGAAATTGATAAGGGTCAATTCTGATTTGTTTTTCTAAAGGTATAATTTGTGTTATGCGGTTATTTTATTTGAGCCCTTCTACCGTAATTCCAACCCTCAACTTCACCTCCTTCTTTGATAGGATGATTATTTTATAATTCTATTATATATGTGCAGTCTCGTAAGTTGTAGGTTATGTTCTGTTTACGATACAAAATTTGTACTTACTTTATTTGTTCCCATATGTCTATTCCAAAGTTTTTGAGTACTAGCAGCTCCAGCGCATAATTCACAAATCCGTACTGCAGCATAACCGGTCGCCAGCAGTTTCCACATTTTCGTTCAGCATAACACACAAATCGAGACGCAAAAAAAAAACAAAATTGAAAACGACATTAGTTTAGAAAAGATTTTTCAACACACATCACAAGTGTCTTAATTTTTATTTCACCCGAACCCAAGCATAAGCCACTCGCGGCAGCCGTCGCCCACACCCATGCCACCTCAGCACCGTCATACGATATGCACCTAAATCGGTGTTTTCTCTTAGTTTTAAATTTTCATTAAAAACTTTTCCGTACGTGTGGCTCGTGCAAGCGATGCGAAGTGGCGGCGGGGCGGTCGGCAAGAGTTGAGCAAGAACGACGAGCACAATTTTTCTCACTGGTAATTAAATTAATCTTATCCTTGCCCAGAGCCGCGAGTGAGTGCGCTAGTGAAAATGTCTTTCTTTGGGATCTTGTTCAACAAGAGGCACCATTAGCGAGGGGACACTCTGTATCATTTTGCTTACCATTTTTATGGCTGTGATTTTATTTTAATCTTGACGAGATTTACAGGATCAAATTACACGCCACGCAGGTTCTCTCCTCCCTGATGATCTGAGCGACTGCCGCTGCTTCGGTTTAATTATCCTCAGATTTGCCCATCCACTTCTCTACTTGGTTTGAGCTGTATAATCGTATTGATTTTCACTTATTTGTAGGGCGCTGCTCACAGTAAATAACAGACTGCCCTATTCGTCTCGTTCGGCGTTCTGGTTCGGCAGGCTTTAAAGTTCTGCCCAGGAGCAACAAGCTGCAACTTTTCGCACTTTGGCTTTTCTACGAGACACCCAGTAACCGGGTGTGTAAGTTATTTCCGTTTGTGGGTGGTGGGGTTGCAGCAAAACCGCACACTAATACAATCGATCCATCATCGGGGCCATCGCATCGTGCAAGTACCTACTAGTCGTCGTCGTCGTCGTCGTCATTAGTGGTCTGTCCCGACTGGTTGTCTCTTGCTTGCTGGGCTGGGGCTCCTATGTCCTATGTGCTTCAACTGTTGCCACAGAGGCCGGCTATGGCGTGTATTTTTCTTTCAATATCATTTTACCCTGCTGCAGCAGTTGTGGCTCCGTGCCTGCTTGGGACCGGTCCAAGGGATTTGGTGCACTGCTGACTGGGGACTGCTGCCTTTTCCAGTTCGGTCTGAATTATGCGCCTTTGATCGTACGTGGAGCGAAGCACTCACTGCCTGGTTGGACACATGTTTTAATCACTGTTTGTATGCGTTTACACTGTTGGGTTTTTGCGTTTTGGCAGGCTGCAGGATGATTACACTAGCCACTGACTGGGTCAGCATGAAATTGTATGAGTGAATGGTATTGATTGGTTTGCGGCAATTTGAAATTCCCAACTGTGGAGATTGCAGATTGTGTTTGTTGTTTGTTGATTGGGGGACATTGAGGGAACAACACCTGGCACGATTCTTCAAGATCATCATGATACCATGGAGACGACCGGTGTGTTATATGATGGATAGGCTTAGGAATCAAGAATTCAGCAAACAGGTGGGTGAAATCTAAGGAATTGAGTTTTCCAACTGTAAGATGAATCTGCTACATTTGCTCATTTTGAAGCCGTTTGTAGTTATAAACCGAAAACATGTTTACAAAATAGGTAAAATACAGCAATCTAATGAGAGCAAAATCTCACCGCAAATGTTAAATATTTAAAATACACTGCACCCAAGTCAGTCCCCTCGAACACTGCGCCCTCAATTAACAAGTTCGATGAAAAGTTTAAAAAATATTAAATTTGAAATAAATAGCGTCTGAATTACATGCTCATGTAAATTTAAAAATCAGTAAATTTGAAATGGCGAGCGCCCCTGGTAGACAGGTTCAAGAAAAAAAACTTCAAATTTGAAATAGTTAGCGCCCCGCTTACGTTCAGGAAGTGGCTTACACCTTTGGTAAACATGTACGTTTAAAAATAATCAATCAAAAATGGTAAAATTGAAGTGCCCCTGATCGGGGAAAAATTAAAAAAAAAGTAAGAGGTTGTATCCAAGACACGACCGTAGATTTGACGTAGGATCACGAAAGGTAGTTATGATTATTAAATTGATTTCTTAACTCGTTATCAGTGAAAAATTTCGATAGGTTAAAATTCGGAAGCAATTTGAGAGTTCTGTTTGTGAGGTGCTCTGTCGATGTTCATGTAGTACAAACCAATTCTGGGTCTTGGATTCAAGCTCTTACTCTTTAGTTTACTCTTTTATTAGTCATTTGTGGTCCTAATGAGGACCAATGGGATGGAAGCCAGTTAAGAGCAATACTGTGGAAATTTTTCCTCAATGTTTTTGGAAATGAAAGCGGTGCGGAAATGAAATGTTTAGGGGAAATGGATGTAATGTCGGCCTAAATGCCCCTAATTTGGGCCCATACATAAATTCTCAATGGCGACCAAAAATATCCATTAGTACCGTCCCAATGACGCGTTCATCTAGATAAAATTGAAAATAACAGATTTTTAGCGATGGGCCAAATCTTAGATCCATAGGCCAACAGTAGAGCTGTTTCCCCTATTAGGGAAAACACATCAATCACAGAATATGAGCCTACCGGACGGTGCCAACGCTTATACTGTTTGATGCAATTTTTTAAGCCCCTTCTGTTAAGAGAATCCGGCATACTTTTTTTTTGGAATAATGCTCTTAATAGGAGGGGCTTAAAATTTGCACCAAAAGGCATAAAGATCGGTACCGTCTGGTATGCTCAGTGCTTAGTATCAATATTCGGCGACTGTGTTGGGGAAACCACTTTTCCCATCACGAAATGCCTCGTTTTCTGATGACAAAATTACGCAATTACGAGTACAATACGCACGGATTTTTTGTTTTATTGAATAGGGGAATTTACGTATTCTCGTCAATCTAAGCAGCGTCCGAACTTCTATTAGCGATTTATCAGCATCACACACATACATGACAGGTTTGTTTGTTGACATTTATCTGCTGCTTGCTGTTCTACCAATTCCAATCGACAGAATTGATCAAACCGGGTTGAACATGTTTTTACAACGCTCCAAACTTCTCAGGTGAGAGTGACTATTGTCGGCAGTCTCTTTTTCTTCGGCACCCTTTCCATTTGAACTGCGTGTTAACCAGCTGTTCTATTATCGGCAACTCGAAATCAGCCGTATTTTGTAGTATGTATGTTTCATTTAAAGAAAAATATGGTATAACAGGAATTCACAGCCGTAAAAATGTAATCAGATTGAAGCTGAAAAGGTAAGGAATCGGCTTAATACATTCAGCGAAGAGTTTTGATGGGAAAATACAGTGAAATAAACGTTTCAATTTTGGTTGCCGAAAACAGTCAATGGGTGCCGAAGCCATAATTTACCCTAGATAATAAAAAAAAGCGAATATTGATTGAGGAATTTCTTGCTCAAATTTTTCCAATCGCGATCTATCATATAAATTCGAGATGTTTTTGCTTTTCTAGCGTCTTGGATAAAACCTTACGAAGTGTTTCTGGTTAATTGACATGGTCATGTGGTATTCGGTCATTACGAGAATTTGTATGTACCACTTTAATACTATTACGCATTTGATGACAAACGTTTGGTTGCTGGGTACATTATCAAAGAGCTTTGGGGATTTACGACCGTTTTGTCGTAATGGTTGAGTAATGCTGAGCTATTAGAGTGTTTAACACAGATGAGGCTGGCGAGCTGTATGTTGTTTGGAGCAAGGGTGACGCGTTTGGCATAGATGACCCACAGCGACTCACGAAGAAACTGATTTCAATCCATAGCGGTGCGGTTTCTTCCTCCTTCTATGGATGCTCATGTGGGCTCTGCAGCTCGCTGCTTGCAGGCTGTCTTTCGTTGTGTACTGGAGAACAATGTTCAACGCCAAACGCTGAAAGCACTGCTGCTGCTGACACCGACGACCGGACACCACCCCACACGGTGATTGAATGAGCACCGTTCAGTGAGACAGGATCGAATTCGATTTTTAAATCTGTGTTGCAACAGTTGGACATTTGTTTTTTTTTCAATAGTGACCTATTGAAAATTAATAAAGTGATCATTTTTGCAGATTAGCAGATAAAGTTGCAATCGATTGGTTTGTTTAGAATTAAAATCCATCTGCTATTGACAGAGTTATATGTTGGCAAAACCTGACCTCTTTTCGTGATGCGGTCGATTTTGGTTTTTTTTTTAAATTGCACCCCCAATATGTTGCCGAAATACGTAATCCTACGTCAAAAAAAGGTTAAATAATACCACTGAACTGTTAAAAAGTTCATCTGATTGAGGTTAACCTTTAACGGTGCATATCCTGATTGGCGGACAAAAGTTGGCGCTACTTAGTGGCGTAAGATAGAAATTTTGACATGATGATGCTTTCAAAATTCTTTCATATGGTATGGGAGAAAAGTTTGGAATCATAAAAAAAAGATCGACACCACTTCGAAAAGTACTGAATCAGTTAGGAAAATAATTAAATCACTTCATAAAAATTCGGAATCACTTCGGAAAGTACTGAATCATTTCAGACAGCACTGAATAACTCATGAAAAGTTCGAAATCACTTCAGAAATGTTTGGAATCACTTCAGAAATGTTTGGAATCACTTCTGAACGTACTGAATCGATTCAGAACAGTTTGGAATCATTTAAGAAAGTACCGAATCACTTCAGAAATGTTAAGAGTCACTTCACAAAGTATTGAATAACTTCAGAAAAGACCGGAAACACTTAATAAATATTAGAAATCACTTTGGAAAATTCTGAATCATTGCGGAAAGTTCACTTTGAAAATCATTTAATCACTTCGGGAAATACTGAATATCTTCAGGAATGTTCAGAATCACTTTGGAAAAGTTCATGATCACTTCGGAAAGTACTTAATTATTTCAGAAAGCACTGAATCACCTCGGAAAGTATTGAATCACTTTAAGCTCGGAATCGCTTCGGATAATATTGAATCATTTCAGAAAATTTCTGATTCACGTTGGATATTACTGAATCTCCTAAAAAGTTTGTAATCATGTCCGCAAGTACGGAATAACTTCGAAAATAATTGAATCAGTTAGGAATGCACTGAATCACTTCAGGAACGTTCGGAATCACTTCGGAAATACTGAATCGCTTCAGAATGTACACAATCACATCGGAAAGCACTGAATCATTTCAGAAAGTACTGGATCGCTTCAGAGAAATTTGGAATCACTTCGAATAGTACTGAATAATTCCAGATAGTTTGTAATCACTTTCGAAAGTACTGAATCACTTCAGAAAGAATTCAATTTGCAACAATTTGAAATCAATTCTAAAAGTAATAAATCATTTCGGAAAAGCTCTGAAATTCTTCGAATATTTAGTATTGAATGACTTAAGAAAACTTCTGAATCCCTTTTGAAAATACTTAATCTTTCCAGAAAGTTTGTAATCGCTTCCGTAAAAACTAAATAATTCCGGAAAGAACTGAACAACTTCACAAAAACACAAAAATTAGGAAAGTACTGTATCAATTCTCTCGAGATTACAATCACTTTTTCCAGAGCTGAATCACTTTGTAATAACATAATTACTTCAGAAATTTTCACTTTGGGGAGCACAGAATCATTTAAGAAAAAAGTTCAAAATCGCTTCTGAAAGTACTGAAACACTTTAGAAAATCTCGGAATCAGTTTGAAAAGTACTGAATTACTACCATCATAATTTATAACTACTCAAGATATCACAAATCCACCACCTCCAGCACTTCGGATGATACAAAGTAAACGTTCATACATATATTTACTTGTGTCATGTCTAATATTCTGATGGCTTTAGACAACATTCAAGAAGTCATTGTTGTCAATTCAACGAAATTTTTTGAAAATTTTCAATTGAAAGAACCACAAAAATGTATCTCCTTTGTAGATGCATTATTGGAGAGCAGCAGGATGATCCGAATTGATCATAGCTCTGTGGCGAACAGTGTAGTTCAATTTGTTGTGCAGTGAAAATATAATTCTTATTACATGTGAAATTGTGTTGTGTTGATTGATTTATAGCAACGCGTGCCCAAATGTCATTGTTTACAGGATAAGTAGGAGAACAGGCTGCAAAAGCAACTTAAATTTTGCTTATTTTTCGATCACCCCGGTGCGCTGAAAGGAACCAATTGCTCTCCTATAGTTTGTGTATTAGACCATAAGTATAGTTATTGAAATTTTCGATAAAGCGATATGGGAAAAGGGTAGAAGACAATGAACAAAAAGTTTGGATTTCCCATAGTAATTCCCATATAAACTTGAAATGATTTGTGCCAAGTCAGTTTCATACTAAA